TTTCTGGTGGGGTGGGGGGTTATACAGCAGAACACGATGACCTTGGCAGGCACTGGGAGATAGGAAGGCCCACAGGACCCACTAAATGCCTTCTGGACCCAGTGTGTTTTTAAGTCAGATGTTCCTCATTGCTGAGTGTGAGCAAGGTCCCATCCATCATCTGGGACCAGACCAGGCTGTGACTGAAGGGCAGCTTCGCCCTGGCCAGTTTGGCTCAACAGTTAGAGTGTCGGCCTGTGGACCAGCGAGTCCCGGGTTCGGTTTCTGCTAAGGACACGTACCTCGGTTGCAGTTTGTTCCTGCCCCGGTTGGGGTCATGTGGGTGGCAACCACTCGATGTGTCTCTCTTCCATCGATGTTTTTCTCTCTCTCTTCCTCTCTCCCTCCCTCCCGTTCTATCTGAAGATAAATGCAAAAATGTCCTCAGGTGAGCATAAAAAAAATAAAAGAAGAGTAGCTTCATGTTTACAGTGGAGTACTGTAAGATCTGCCTGCATCTAACACGTCTTCACTCTCAGAAGCTGATGAGCGTTTAGAAACTCGCCTTCAAACAGCAGGTGAACCTCTGTACTTACAACTGTCGGGGGGCAGAATTCTGACTCAAGGCCTGACTCATTCCACAGCATCTCAGACACTTGTTTTAGCTGCATTTCCAGACTGTAACTCCTCCTCTCTACCAGCCACGGCAACTGAGCAGTGTCAGGGGGCATGGCCAGGACAGTCCCAGCTAGCTCATCGGTGCCGACGCACAGCAGGGTAATAACACTAATGCAACATGGAAGGCTTCCCGCCTCCTTACAGTGTTTACATTTATTCCTAGAGTGCGGTAGGGCTGAATCTTCAACTCCTTTCTAACTATATTCTGTCTATTTGATCTCATTTATCTCCTGCCTTTCAATACTGTCTATATGCTGCCACCTCTGAATGTATTATATCCACAGCCCAGACGTTGCCCCTGGACACTCCAGATTCATGTAGCCAACTATCCTACTTGACTCCTCAGTTGGAATTCAGTGGGCAGCTTAGACACTTTCGTGGTTTCCCCCTACCCTTAGAACAAAACACACATTCTTCACCATGACCTGGAATGACCTCAGCATGGCCTCTTCTCCCAAACTCACCCTGTTCCCCTCTCTACTTCTCTTACCGGCCTCCCTTCTGCTCCTTGCAGACACGAAGCAGGCCTGCCGGCCTGGGCCTTCCTCTGGCCTTCAGCCGGTTCATTCTTGTTCTTCAGCACTCGGCTCCAGTGAAACCTCCCTGGAGGGGTTTCCTAGTCCAGTCCGTCTGACTAAACTCCTCTAAGGAGCCCTTGGCTCACTGGCCTATTTCATTTCTTCACCTGCCACAGTAAACATGTATACTGCTTGTGCACATTTTAGTTCATTCTGTCAAATAATGGTCACGTGATCCCCTATCACGTTGTAGGTCTGGGCTGTAATGTGAACCAGACCAAGTTCTCTGTGCCCTGGAGAAGAGAGACAATAAGACAGATAACAGGTAAATAGACTATAATGTCAGGTAGTGAACATGCTGTGAAGAAAAACAGGGTAAGCAAATTAAGACAGGCAGATATGCAAACAATAGATGACTTGAAGGCCATGTAAGAACTAATGGCTGATACGAAAACATCTCAAATAAATGGGTAATGGTTGTTTTTTCAAACTGGTTTTTAAGAAATAAACTATTTTGAGAAAATTAATTTTAAGCCATATCTCACAGCATAAGTTTCAGGAAAATTAAAAGCTAAGTGTGCAAATAAAACCATAAACTAGACTAAAATGACCTTATCTATGGGTGGGTAAGAACGGCAGAGTCCATAAGTATGGAAAGAAACTCCATGAAATAATTGGTCAACTACATAATAACTTAATATTCCTGTGTCAAAAGAAAATCATGAAGTTAAAAAAGTAAACAAATTGAGAAAAATACTTGCTACAAATGGGAATAATAAAAAGACTGATAATGTTACTATAGTATATGTCCTCAATTCTAAAGTTATTTTTTCCCCTTGCATTTTAACATTTCTTAAAAATCAGGATATGTTTTTCAGTCACTGTGTATATTTAATATGATCATTAAAAATGTTCAATCAATGACATATCTTACAAGTAATAACATCTTGCAATCAATGTTTTTTTTTAAGTTCAAAGAAATTAGTACGAACATTGAAGTTCTTGGTAGAAAATAGCTCATTCATTCATTTAACAAATAGCTGAGTGTTTGTGCCATGGCAAGGAGATGGGTGTAGAGTGGTAAACAAAATTAGCAAAAATTCTTTGTTTTTAAGTGCCTTCTCCAGTCACTGTTCGGTGCCCTGTACACCACTTGTATCCAGTCTAAGATCTGTTGGGTAGTTTCAGCGAAAACAAGTGCTGTGGCCAAGGCCGCTCAGCTGTTTAGTGATAGGGAAGAGCCAGTCCCTGTCTGCATGGCTCTAAACAGTGTTCTTTCCTGAAATGACCATAACTGTTGCGCTAAGGGGAGTTTTCCGCTCAGTCTTGCTGACAGCGCCTTCATTCCAGTGCCCTCTTCCTCTGCACCTGTCTCAGCTGGGTTTCGGACGCGGTCAGTGAACTTTGGTGCAAATAGAGAGCAGTGGACACACAAACAGTCTAATCCTACATTATGTAGGTGCCCTCCTACATGCTTTTAAAACTTGTGCTAAGTCGTATGTATCATTTAAACTTGAACAAACAAGCTTTGCGCAGTGGCGGTATCATAGTCCATGAGGTTTATCTGAGGCGCGATTATTGCTAATATTGCAATTACTGCAATTATTGAAAAATAATTGTAAAATGAATAAATGAATTTGAACAAACATTTTAGCAATGAAAAAGTAAGCCCATTTACAGCTATTGATCTTGGGGAGGACAAGAAGAAAAACAACCAACACTACACCCTTCTCAGTGTCTGAGAGGAATGTAATTAGAAGGTGTCCTCAGTTGGGCTCTGTGGAAGCAGATCGCGTGCTGGGGGATTCTCGTCCGAGTGACTTATGAAGGAAGCACTCTCAGGAGGAGAGGGAAGCAGTGGGTGGTGGGGAGAAGTTAAGTAAGGACGTGGTCTCCTCTTTAGATTAGCTTCTGCCTGGTCCCACGGGGAGCCCCGGAGCCGAGTTGCACCAGAATGGCCCCTCACTGAGGCAGGGGATCTGATTGTTTACACCCTTGTGTCAGCCAGCCATTGCATGCATGCTCACCTACCCAAGGTGGCCAGGGGCAGTTTTCTTGAGAAGCAAGCAGCTGTGAGCCATCAGTGGCCAGCTCACAATATTTGGGCATGGGAACTCTGCCCAGTACAGGGATCAGGGTGGGACGCCAGCGACATCCACTGCAGAAGTCCAAAAGGAAATTAATTTAGAAGATTACCAAGTGGTAGGTTTTGACATATAGCAGGAGCCCTCTGACTAGACCCTCCCATTGAGCACAGGATTCATCATTAAGGAGTTTATTGGTTTTTCTTCTGCTTTAGGGTGTAAGGTATTGATCAGCCTTGGTAGAAGGAACGTTCACTTTTAAGGAAGATATTATGGCAGGTGTGCTCTGCAAAGGCTAAGAAGGTTCTCATGGAAATTTTTATGTTATTACTGGAAAAAAAAGGAAAAGAGGGTTAGAGATATAATTGGAAACAATTACCAGAAACCACCTTATATAATACCAACTTTGTCAGAATAATGATACCAAATTCCTATAACTAGTATACATTCTTATTCTACATTGTTCTGAAGTCATTTTTCAAATTGGTACTCTCCTTTAAATACATTTTTTGCAAACAGTGCTTTGCATAGAATGTTCAACTGTATGAAGGTGGATACATGTCATTACATATTTGTCAAAACCCCTAAAATGTGCAACACCAAGCATGAAGCTTAATCTGAACTATGGACTTTGGGTGGCAATGCTGTGTGATTGTAGTCCATGCCCCACTGTGTGGGGTGGGGATGTAGACAGTGGGGGAGGCTGTGGATGTATTGGAGCAGGGGTGTATGGAAACTGTCTGTACTTTCTGCTTCATTTTGCTGTGAACCTAAAACTACTCTAAAACAGAACACCTATTTTTAAAAGTATGTAATGCTACAGGCAGCTGACTCTTTGCTCAGTCAGTTGTCTGTTCCTAAAGTCAGAGATAGTGTTCGAGCAACATTTTTTAAATAAAATTCCCTCCACTTGTACATCCATTCCCACCATCTCCAGTGTAATTGATCCGTCTAGCTGATGGGAAGGTTAGTTTGGAAATGCCACCCTGACCAGCCCACCAGGACCTCAGAGGGTCCCTCCAGGAGGATGGTCAGTCCAATCAGAATATTCTGTGATCACATCTTCGTGAGCAGACATTATTTAAAAACAGTATATTTGGTTTAAAGGTTTTCTTTTCATATCTGTCTGCGCAGAACATAGGAATATATTTCAACGTAAAATACACTAAGAATCAGGTAAATAACATCCATTGATGGCACAATAAATTCTTTCAGTATCTTTTTTCATAGCATAGAACTCACTCTAGGCTGTGAAGGATACCTACCGTACACATGCACAGCCTTACAGGTTATATGTGCAGGCACACACGCAAGCGCGCGCACACACACACACACGCCCTGCGTTTAAAGAAAAAATAAATCATCATCTGCTCCATCTAAAGTGATTGACATTTCCTGGATGCCTATTGCTATTATATAGATTCAGCCTACAAATAACATTTAACATGTTAAGCTTTTAACAAAAACGTCTCAGAATTATTTTCTGATATTAACATAAAATGCTCATGGGGGGGGGTTAATGACTCCAATGGACAGGCATCTCCCCCACAGGAAGACACTTCAAACTGAAGCTAATATGGATGAAAATGAAAACTAATAACTTTTATGAAATTACAGTGGGATTTACCGTATAAGCTGCTTAGCGTTTCCATAGAAACGTGATCTGTTGGGCTTTATTTTAGAAGTGTGACTCCCTGGAGATGAGAAGATCCTTCTAATGCTGTTGTCTTTCCCTGCACAGGCCTTGAACCGGGGTATTGCAGCTGTCAAGGAGGATGCGGTGGAAATGCTGGCCAGCTACGGGCTGGCCTATTCCCTGATGAAGTTCTTCACGGGTCCCATGAGTGACTTTAAAAATGTGGGCCTGGTGTTTGTGAACAGCAAGCGAGACAGAACCAAAGCTGTCCTGTGCATGGTGGTGGCCGGCGCCATCGCTGCCATCTTCCACACCCTGATAGGTAAGACTGATGACACGTCACTTAGGAACCTAGCTTTGGTAATTTCTCATTCCTCTTCATTTATTTCAATGCATTTATTGTGATAAGCGATTTCTCAGTAATCATTACATCTTTCTCATGCAAATTTCAAGAGCCCGGAAGAATGGAGCTTGTGCTCCTAGCTCAAGAAAAGCATTTTCTCTGGGAAGCCGTTGTTTCCTTTCCCTGATTCCCAAGGGCTGTGCCACAGAGGGAGAAGTTCACTGGTAGGTGATACCGTCTGGGATCAGCCTTCAGTCAAGTCGACAAGGGAGCAGGTGCTTTGGTTAGAGGCGTGCGTTATTGTACACTCACTTAATCTGAAGAATTAAAATGAAAGGATGATATTTAAAATTAACACCTGTTCCTAAAGAGAACAAATGACAGATTGTGTATTAGAATTAACTTCCTCCAAAGGGCTTCATTGTTCCCTTTTATTAAAAGACAGGCCTAAGTACTCTTGGCAGGACGTTCTTCCCGGGAAACAGTGAGGAAGCTATGTCATGTATAGCGACTAGCCTCCAGTTTCACCAAGGCCTTGGAAAAGCACCTTCCTTTGGGGCCAGAGTTCTACTTCTTCTTCTTCTACCGCCTTCTTTTGTGAAAAACCCTGGGGCCATAATTTTAGACCGTCTTGGCTTTAAAACAGCTCGGCTTACCTGGCATAAAAATTGAATGGTGCATCTGTTGAACCCAGTTGCCCAGAACCTGTGACTGACACTTCATAAACCCATTATGTACCTTAAAACTGCACTGGTTTTAGGAGAACCCTGATGAAGAAAGGAGCCAGAAGATTAACCTAAGCCATTTACATTGTATTAGGTGGCAGATGATGTTTACTCAGGTAACTGAATCGAAAAAAAACAGGGAAAGGCCTTTGTGGTTTGCCTTCTCAGGGCAGCAGAGAATTTGTGCAGAGAGCAGTGGGGATGAGAGGGTGTTACTCATGGGCCAGATGTGCAGCCAAAGTTTTGAAATTCACCATTTCATTTGGGCTCAGAGCTTCAGGGCAAGAAGCTGAGAGGAGAGGCCTTTCTTTCCCCAATTTATGCCCCTAATACGAACTTGTCGATTAAGTTTTGAAGAAAACCTCTGCAGCTAGATTTGATCTGGGTCGTTTTCAAAGATGATATGTATATTTGAGAAAAGTCTATACATGACATGAATTAGGTCTAAATAAATGTTTGTCTAAACAGGTAGATTAGTTCCTTTTTTGCTGCGAGTCTTTTTACTTGGATTTCTGAATAGACCTAACGATCTGTGTCTCGGTCACGGTTGACTGTTTGGGAGGAATAGCTTGTTAGTAGCTGTCAGTAACTAGAGAAGAGACAAGCTGAGTGTCTTATGTTATTGGAACTGTTGTGAGGAGCCATGTGGTCATAGAGAAAAACATCCATGTCATTTTCCAACTTAAATCTAAGTTTTTCCATTTTAAAATAGAATCAAATAAAATCTTAAATTTGAACCAAATTGGTTCTACATTCCTGATATATTTGGCCATTGGTTTTTCTTCTCACTTTTAACATTTTCACAATCACAATGCTTTTCCTCCACCAAACAGAAGCATTCTACCATTGCTGAGAGAGCACATATCAGTTTCTTCTGAAGACTCAAATCTCAGAGTTTAATGATGTACCCTCTTCTCATTTGTTGGCCGCATTTCGGTTTTCTGCCTCAGTCTTGCATCACTCCTGCCTCCTGCTGTCTGCTGCATCACACATCCTTGCACACCTTCCTTCTCCTTCTCTTCTCAGTCAGCCCCTTAGCTTTTCTATACCCAGGTCTTATTCGTTTTTTGGTTCCCATTAACTTGACCACAGGCTCTGGGTGGTATGTTGCTCTGTCAACCTTTTCCAAAGCTCTTTTTCCATCATTAATAAACATCTCCGCATTCAGATTGTACTTCACATGTCACCTACACTACGCACTTAAACCCATTTCACGTCCTAGTAATGCTGACACAAGCTCCTTACACTTCTTTACTAGTCACCTCTTGGAGCACTATGCTTCTGACAGGGGAACAATGACACAGATAAACTGAAAGGCAAATATTCCCGATGTATTTGACTGGAGAAGCCATTGTGGGCTCTCAGGCTTCTTCCTAATGACACTTGCTAGGACTGAAATTGAAATGAATTTCTACTCCACTTATGCACAGCTCCCGAGGGGCCGGCAGGAAGCACATGAGGACATGTGAGAGCATTGAGGAGGCAGAGATTCCTTCCCTCAGGGGTTGGTTCCGAAAGGCCTCGAGGAGGGAGTGGGTCGTCTCTTAACTGGCTCTGAATGCGTGAGTTGTCTTACAGCACAGCTCCTTCTAATGTTTTCCTTCTCTTTGATACAAAATAGAGCCAAGAATTTCACCCAGTGCCCTAAATTAATATTTTGCTATAGCCATATAAAATCCAAAAAGTGATTCTTCTTGCCTATTGCCTGGCTTGTGATTTTAACAACACCCCAGCATTCTGCATTTTTTTTCTTTTTCAGTTTAATGGCCCAGCTCTTCTTGGTTTCTTTTTGCTTTGTTTCCTACTTAACCTTTTATTCATTTTATTCGTTATGATATTACTTACTTTTCCCAGCGTGATGCCCTCTGTACATTTAAAATCCGTGGATTTCTCTTTTTGAGATATTCTCAAACACTGATGAAATACATCCATTTTGCCTTATGATGTTATTAATGTGAAGGTTAACTGTAAAGAGATATACTACTAATAATAATAGAGCTGATCTTCCTGCTTTGACTAAAGGAGAGTGAGAGTAAGAATTGCCCTTTGTTTAACTCACTTGAAAACTAATAAACAAAAGTTTATTGAACAGTAGTATGTGCATGTTATTCCAGGTCCCACTGACCCAAAGTTTGGAATAAAGGTGAGACAGGTCCAGAAGAACGGTGACCAGATATGCCCCTCTCCTTGAGCAGATGTAGTCCATGGGCAAACGTGCGTGATTAGCACTGATTTCCAGAAGGACTCTGGCAAGCGCTCTTTGCAGCCAGTGAGAGCTTTTGAGATACGGTAAAGGCAAACCAAAGTCAAAGTGGGGAGAGTTAAAAACCACCCCTGACTTGAGAAAGCAAAGTGACAGTGAGCAAACAGGAGGGAAGGAGCTCTTGGTGAGGAAAGAATGTGGGAGGCACAGTAGTCATGCTTCTGTGAACTGGGAAATAAAGCAAGGAGGAGTTCAGTGTTGAATGTGAGAGGTGCCCTGGGCTAGGGCCAGGGCAGGTAACCAGGTAAAGGAAGGATGGAGCCTCAGACAATAGGAGAGCTCAGGAGACAACCCAGACAGCAAAAGGGAGAGGAAAGGAAAAGGATCAAGGAAGTGCCAAGCAGGAATAAGAATGGACAGGGTGGGCATTATGCAGTGAGCCCCATGGCTGTATCTGAGAACTTGAAGAACCTTTGGCACCAGTAGGCTTCTTTTGTAACATGTCAAGGACAGCCATATTGAATTCTAGCATTCATGTGATACTGGTTAATACAGCTTTAGCCAAGAAAAAGCTATATACTCTGCTTTTTTACATCTTTTTAACCTCAAGGTCTCTAACGAAATTATTAATATTTAGAAAAGTTAGATGTATTTTATCATTCTGCATAATCTCCTTGGTTAAGAACTACAATCAGCCCTCGTTTATCGTGGTTAATCAGTTCCAGACTCTACCACGATAAATGAATTTCCGCGAAGTAGGATTCTTTATACACAGTCGTCCCTCCCCACTTCACACTTCGACATTCGCAGCTTCACTGTATTGCGATTTTTTCGTATACTATACTGTACTATACTATATTTGAAAAAACCGTCATAGAGTGAAGCGGCGAGGGACGACGGTAGTACCTTGGTTAGGTCCTCTGCGGTTATTTTGTTGTTTTGGGGGTTTTTTTTCCAAAGATTGTGTATTCCATGATGCTTCCAGGCTTTGGAGAAATCCTGGCTCCTAGCACGATCATCTCTACCTTAGATTTTCCTCCCAATCTGGATGAACCTAGCACTTCATACTTTTCAGTATCTACTAATAATTTATCAATTGCTGGAGGATCTTCTTCACTTAGAAGGGATTTCAAATGTTAGCATCTCCAGCTTGAAAAAGCCAGTTTCAGCCCTGGCCGGTTTGGCTCAGCAGTTAGTGTTGGCCCGCAGACCAGAGTGTCCCGGGTTGGTTCCCGCCAAGGGCAACGTACCTCGGTTGCAGTTTGTCCCCAGCTCCAGTTGGGGTCATGTCAAAATGTCCTCGGGTAAGGATAAAAAAATAAATAAAAAATAAATAAAAAGCCAGTTTGGGACATAACTCCTTACTTTCACTCTGTGTCAGCTCTGGGCATCAGTTAATGGGTCACAGTAGGACATCTCAGGCCAGGGAGCACCCAAAGCCCTGAACTGTTTGCCCCAGTACCATGTCCTTTCCATTACACTTGTGGTAGTTGAAGACTTGTTCTTCCTTGTGTTTTATATTTGGTTTCTCTAATTTTTTCTTCTTCTTTTTGGACTGCACCAGTGAGCCATACAGTCTCCTGTCCTTGGGAGGTTTGCACGTGGTTATGGGTTTGCCTAGACATGACTGGAGCAGATCCCACTAACTACACAGACACTTCCCCAGGAACGCGTGGTGGAGATGGTGAGGGAAAGATGGCTCCAGAAACAATGTGTCCAGCAACCCCCTAACAAACCTCGTGCAGTAAGCTCAACGAGAAGACACTTGGAATGGTGTTGGGCCGATGGACTTGAAGATTAGAAGGTCCACTGGCCCAGAAGTTCCTGTCTGTTCTACACACACCCATAGCCTGGCTCTAGACACAGATTGCAGGAGCCTTTGGATTGTTTGGGGCTTTTTGGTTTGGAGCCCTCATTGGACACTTGCCAGTAAGTGTCCCTTTTAAAATAAATTGCAGCCATTAGTCTTGTCATGGCTCACCTAAGAGACACCATTTTCAAGGATCGCAATGCATGGAGTTTGCCATTACCAGACCTTAATTTAGGCCAGA